TACTCATCCAGTGACCAGTATATTTGCCCTCTACCAGACTCCTGTACCCCACTGATCTGGGTCTGTCACAATACCTATATAAAGAAATCTGTAGAAACTGACTCCCACACCTACATCCAGATACACACAGGTATTCATGTGTACACATCTAGCATGTAGTAACACATACTTCGACATTGTTTATTATTACAATTGTTTAATGCCTAGAACCCCCAACTAAGATCAGGGCTCCAGGGTTATAGGTCCTGGACATACACATAACAAGAGAGTCTGCAACAAAGTTTATGATGTAGCTAGACAAAGGTAGGGAGAAACGTATGATATATTATCTCTTCTGCAATTACTAGTCAACAACATTCACTTTTTAAGAAATAAGACATTTCTTTTAGAGTTCCCTTCTCTTTTAAAAACTTGTTATGAAATGAATACACATTATGTCAATTTTTTGTGTGTGCAAGCCTGCAAAAGGAATAAAAGTCAAAATTAGGCTGCAAATTTTATTCACATAGGTATACACACATGCAGCAATACAAGTACTTCCCTACACAAAGACACCGTTTCTTACATGCATGCACACGCTTGCCTGCACAGAGACACCTAGCCGGGAAGGGAGGAGGGTGGGCTGGCAGGGAAAAGATGGGGGGGGGGGGCGCAGAGGAGAGAGGATGGGGAGGGAAAGAGGCTAAGGACAAGAGCAGAGTGGGGGTAAGAGGCAGCAGGGAAGGAGAGAGTTGGGGGAGGGGTATGTGGGGTGGATGGTGATGCAGAAGGCTACTGGCACATGAGGATGTGGGAGGCACAGGGGCGTATAGGGACATATGGGAGTGAAGCAGTGTCTGAAGGTGAATGGGGGTGAGGGACCTGGGGATGGGTGAGGGAGGTGGAGAGGATGGGTGGGAGAGCGCTGTAAGGGGTACCTGGCTGGGATGGGGGACAGGGTAGGATGGGATAGGGAGGGATGCAATGAGGGGGATGAGGGTACAGGGCGGTTGGGACAGGGAGGGATGCAGCCCTATTCCCAGCACTCTGAGATGACAATACATACCTCCAACTCCTGGGTGCTGGTGATAGGGCGACAGACCACAGTTTGACGCAGGGCACTTGCCGCAGCTCAAACCCAGCCACAGGAGGAGCATGAGGAGAAGTGGGCTGGTAGCAGCAGGAGAGGCGCACGCCACGACCCCTCAACAGCCACCTGCTAGGCACGCTAGTTCATCCCCTGCCCCGGACAATGGGAGCTGTGCCTGTGGGTGGAGCAGCACGTGGACTCCCTGGCTTCCCCTACATGTAGGAGCTGGAGTGGGGACATGCCAGCTGCTTCCTGGGAACTGCGTGGTGCAGTAGCTAGCAGGGAACCTGCCAGCCCTACTGCGTGGTGCTGCTAACCCGACAGTCAACGGCTTGGTCAGCCGTGCTGACTAGAGCCACCAGGATCCCCTTTCAATCGGGTGTTCCGTTCCAAAACCAGACACCTGGTCACCCTAGTGAGGGCTCCTGCTGGGGGTACGGGCTCTGGGGTGGGGCTGGGGCCAAGGAGTTCAGAGTGCAGGAGCAGGCTCAGGGCAGGGTGCAGGCGGGGGTGTGGGCTCTGGGAGGGGGTTCTGACTGGGGCAGGGGGTTGGGGATGCAGGAGGAGGTTCGGGATGGGGGACAATCTCCAGACAGTGTTTACCTGAAGTGGCTCCCGGAAGCAGTGCTATGGCCCTGTGGCCCCTAGGCACAGGGGTGGCCAGAGAGGCTCGGCATGAAGCCTTCGCCTGCAGATGCTGCCTCTGCAGCTCCCATTGGCTGTGGTTCCCGGCTAATGGGAGCTGTGGAGCCAGCACTTGGGGCAGGGGCAGTGCACAGAATCTCTCTGGCCACCCCTGCGCTTAGGGGCCGCAGGGACATAGCACTGCTTCCAGGAACCATGCAGAGCCAGGGCAGGCAGGGAGCCTGCCTTAACCCCACTGTGCTGCCAACCGGACTTTTAATGGCCCAGTCAGTGCTGCTGACCGGAGCCGCCAGGTTCCCTTTTCAACCAGGTGCTCCGGTTGAAAACCAGACGCCAGGCAACCCTAATTGAAGGGCTAAAGAGCACACTTGGCTGCCCAAAGCAAGCAAGCAGCATTCGGCCCCTGGACAGTTTCATGGGGGGAAGGTGTATCAGATATAGGCAAGCAGGCAGCCCATTTATAGGCAACCCATAGGTCCCAGCATACAAGACTCCATCCTAGCTTGCTTTGCATGGCATGTGGAGACGGGTAGTTCCCAGGGGACACACCTTTGTAGTGAGATGAGGGTTGCAGAACAGGCACACCATCTGGGTTCTTGGCAAAGTGATCAAAGCAGCCCCTCTAAGGAAAGTTTGGACCTCCTTGCCTGCTGGGATGGGAAACCTAACAAGGCTCCTAAAGAACAGAGATAATCATAGATGGCTGGGGCCAAAATGCATCCACAGGGCAAGTCCACTAGAGTCAATTTTAGCCCCTGGATTCAGAGATGCAGAAGCCAACTCTCCCCCTTTTCTGTTGGCATCTAAATAAATCGTAGCCTGGGGGACCAAGTGCACTGAGTTGGCCCTTGCGGGGGATCAAAGCAGAGGAGCTGGGATTGAGAGGATGCAGCCCCTAGGATTGTCATTGTTTAGGAACAAGAGGAAAGTAGGTTTGGAATTGGGAGTTACTTAACACCCTGCATGGAAATGCCTGGGGACCTGTGCCCCATGGGAGCTTATTCCTTCAGCACAAGAGTTCTTGCCCATTCCCAATCACTCCCTCCTCCAATATCCCTCCACAATGCTTTGCAACAGATCCCAGAGTGCTCCAGAGCGGGCACACAAGGACTCTATGCAATAGGTTATCAGGGTGCTTGCTGAGCAGGCAGGGGTTGCCCCGGTGGCTGCCTGGTACCCAGAGCCCGGCTCCAGCGGGAACGTGATACATAGACTGGAGGAGGAAAAAAGTCTCTCACCCCTGCTGCCTCAACATCCAAGAACAATGCTCTTCACCCTCCCCCCAACTCCAGTAGGGTGGGGTGCAGCTTGTACCTGTCCCCCACAGTAACACAGGCCCTAGGGGACACTGGAGAGAACAGACACACACACCTTTCCTAGATAGCAAAATATATTTTGACTGCTGAAATACAGTAGATTATATAAACCGCGTTTCTGCATGACAGAACATTTTACAGGTTAATACATTGCAGACAGTAACAGAATCACATCTCCCACCACAGGCATCTCTTGGCAGCTATTCCAGCCTCAACAACACTAGAGGTTGTCCATACCACTCACAGGTAGAGTGCACTTTAGTTTCTTCTACTCAGTGGTATTTTACACTTAATTCTTTCTTGGAATTGGGAGTTACTTAACACCCTGCATGGAAATGCCATGGAAATGCCTGGGAAAACCCACTCTTTCCGACTAAAGAGATTAGAATCTGTCTGCTCCAGGAAGGAGACTAGTAGGGTTGTCGACTACTCTTAACAGCAAAGACACCAGTGCACTGGGTAGAGACTTGCAGGTATCCTGCTGACTAGATGCATAACCCTGAGACATCTGAAAAGAATGCATGCTCTCTCAGAGGGCACATTTACACCATTCCCTCCTTCCAGCTCATTTACATTCAAAGATTCAAGCCAAATGATTCACGTTCCATTAATAGGTTGATACTGCCTCTTCCCATCCCAGGTACCCTGCCTCAAATCACTGATTTCTTCACAGCAAGTAAAAACAATTAGGCTTATTTTGATAATCCTTATTGAACAGTGTACAGTTTTAAGAGATCAAAGGCAGGATTTCTTTCAATTCTAAAGCCATCTTCACGCAGGAAGCTAGATAGCTTGATGGGTTTTTTTAAAAGCAGCAAAAAGGACACATTAGGTATGAAGATTCTGTATGAATCTACAGTTCTCTTACAAGGACAAATATACAATACCCTTGTGAACTATTACATATTTCATATGTGCAAGAAACTGGGTACAAAAATCTCACCACATTAATACTGATTTCTGTGATGTTACTGAGCAGTAAGTTGAGTTGTATTGGCAGGCATTCCAAAATGGAAGCTTCCCATTTCATGGATGGTTAAGAGATAGTGGAAGTAAGCTTCACAATTTTACAAAGAACACTTAATATGTGTATACAGTAAGAATTCAAATAGGTTGTTAGTGTTAAGTGGCCAAATCACTGGCCAGACCACCACACTGCTAGCTCTGGGATTTTATGGCCTACAAAAAACAAACAAAAAACCTCTTCAAATGAACAGGGTAAAATCTTCAATTCCCATTTAGCCCAGCAATGTGCAATAATTTTGCTAGAAAGTCTAAGGCCTTAAGTATTTCCCCAAGGCAATCATGAAAACTGAATTTCAAGCTGATATCAAATCTCACTAAATAAGTCAACAAATAGCAAAAAAGGTCAGTAGCGTACTTGTTAATGCTCTCTAACGGCATGGTTTCAGATGACTTGAACTATAAGGTAAGAACTGAATGGGTCAAGAAAAAAAGGCCAGTTACAGCAATTGAACATGCCTGTATAATGACTGGCTTCTGCTTGCAATATTTTAATCCTTTGGCTCCAAGCATTGAGGTTATTGACATAGTAACGCTCAAGATTCTACATTATAGGTAAACTGGCACCAGAGAGTTATACCTAGAGTCCTACTAGTAGGCAGAGAAGACTCAAAATACAATTCTTCCTTCTTTTGAGAACACTGAGACACAGTAGCAGGAATCAGACATAGGCTTCAAGAAACCCAAGCCTCTAATCCATCATACCCCAGGGGAGTGCAAGGATTTCCATACATAAACAGTACATTGCATTTTAAGAACTATGATTAAAGTGTACTGACTTCAATTCATCTCAGATGGAAGAGAAGTGCTACTATCTGACCACAAAGCTATTTTTAAAAAGGACACTATCAGGTTAAAAATAATCTCTTAAAATTATTTTACTAGCACCACATTTTTTTTTTAAAAAGGTCTAATTTACTTTCCATTATTACTGTTCAAGCTCAACTAGTGGAAGTAAAAAACCAACAAACAGAGTAAAGTTTCTAATGATTTTCACCTCCAGGCTCTTATATACTAGCACAAATGTCCTATGTTTGGGGGCACACATTTGTTAAACTCTTTCTACTAAAATTAAAAAAAAAATCATGAAAACAATTAAGAGTTTTTATATTTAGTACAAGCTTTCATTGAATTAAAAAAAAATCCACCCTATACATTCAAAACCTGAATTTGTCAGGGATTTGACCTGGTTGTGTCCTTTTAATGAGAGCAGGAGACCTACCTATTAGACAGAAACTGAAAACTAAGATAAAAATACTTAAAATCAAAATAGTTGGCTCTGATGAAGGTATGTTTTAACTCAGGTTCGAAAATAGCTTTCCCAACACAGTTGAACAGAGTCCCATTGTCAGCACTGGTAGCCATGCCTGGGCACAGGATCAACTCGCCACTCAGAAAAATGCCATTAAAAAACATTTGAGTAACTGTGAAATTACAGTACTTAATGAAACCCAAGTTGTTCTCTATCACTCAGCTCCTTCCTGCAATGGAAGTTGTAATTACTGTAGGATACAGTTCAATTGTGTCCCTGATGTGCATCACTTAAATGAATAAATGCCATTCAGATAAACAGGAGTTATATGGTTAGTTTCTGAACTAATTTGTAACCTAGAGTGCAGAACTGACATCTCCATATAGAAAGGGAAGCAGACAGTAACTGGAAGGGAACTTCAATGAGATACAATCATGTGCAACTGCTGTGGTAAAGAGAATATTCCCAGTTTGAATATCCATTTATCAGTCTCTCTCTCCTTGTAGCAGTGCAATGGTCCCCTCTCCCTCCCAAAGCAGGGCATGAACTTTTCCTGACTCCATATATTTTTGATGCAACAGTCCAAGGGAGATGTGGCTTTCCATTGTAAAAGTAGTGATTTAGAGTGATGGGGGGCGTGGGGGGGAAGGCTTTGATTCATCCCCTTATTTCCAACTGCTTTTGTGTCAGGAAGCCATTATGGAGCATCTTGTCAACATGTGGCAAGATTAACGGGCATTGTATACAGTGGAGCCATTTGAATGAGAATACAAATCACTGAAATCAATGGGATTTTTTCAAACTGCTCCATAATACTCAATGCATACTAACATGCAGAATAGTAAGTGCACATGCACAGTAACAACTTTTCACTTTAATTTGACAGTTTTGTATCCCCCTAAGATAATTGATTAGTCTAGGGGCTACAGGGAGGGAAGTTGTCAGAAAAAGCAAACTCCTACTGCTCATAGTCACATGAGCTTCAGAGCACAATAGGAAAAAGCCAAGGGGCAGAAGAGCTGTAGTTGGAATTCTGACAGCCAAAGAGGTCAGGCTCTTGTGATTTAGAGGCCAATCTTGAGCTTTTTTAGTATAATAAAAGTTTTTGGTTTTTTAAGAATGTATGCACTCAGGGCCCTACTTTTGAGTATAGCAAATATCTTCATATAGCCAGTAGCAACTGATCATTCACTGCAACCACAGAAAGAAAAAGTCTTCAGCATTAAAAATTAACTTTCCCCAGCCCATTTTCAATCCCTATGTACTGTCTGTGGAAAGTAATTCCAGACAGAGGACATAGAAAGCCATCCACCAATACTTGGACTATGATGCAAAGACATGTTGCTCTGTCACATAATACTACCATAGCAACAAGGAGGGTTCCAAAGAGCATACAAATTCTGTAGACGTCTCCAGTTACCGAAGGAGGAAACAACTCTGAAGGAATGTCTAAGAAACAGATGAACAGAGGCTACCGCAGAGCTCTACTTAGTCTGACCAGACGATCTACTGTCTGGATGAAGAGTAGCAAAATTCCAATGGACATGACCTTCATCTCAGTGTTTCATAACTGACATGGGAATGACTGACTAGAGCGGTGTGCAATGAGAGCTACCTGGACGCCTGCTGCAGTCCACTTCAACTGGGCTGCCTCAGTAAAGTTACAAAAACAGTTTATCTCCAATAATCAGGAGGCACAACTTCCCTTAAAAAAGATTTGAAGTGAATTATGTCATTGGTCCCTGTCCTTGGAGGAGCACAGGCTGATCTTCAGATACGGGAGGTAAGATGAAAGCTGGGTTTAATGGTTTTAAATCTGAATATGACAATCCCAGGAACGTGGTTTCACATAGTCCAGGAACGTGGGCTAGAAGACAATAGAAGAGAGGCAGCATGTTAGTCATGGACATGTCGTGGTGGACATTATTGTACTGTCTATTGAAGTCAAGTAACCTTTTCTGTTCGCACTCCCCTTAAAGGAAAAGCCAGCAACACCACACATTCTCACATCTGAGTCATGGAGGCCATGACTGATTCTGACAGCAGGGTGGAGGCCAGACATTTTTTCAGGTAAACATGAGTGTCTAGTCCAGGGGTCAGCAACCTCTGGCATGCGGCTCGCCAATGGGGAGCAGTGGGAAGCTGCGGCCAGCACATCCCTCACCCGCGCCGCTTCCCACAGCCCCCATCGGCCAGTGGGAGCTGCAATCGGCCGAACCGGCTGACGCGGCAGGTAAACAAACTGGCCCGGCCCGCCAGGGTGCTTACCCTGGCAAGCCGTGTGCCAGAGGTTGCCGACCCCTGGTCTAGTCTATTGCCATTGCAAAAATCTATTCATCGGTCTTCAAAGACAGATCTAAAACAGCAGCTGATCATTTCATGCCAGGAGTCAGTTCTGGGTGATAGCTACCACTACAGGAAATGAATACAAAAACTGCAGAGATGACATATTTGTAATGGGGTGGGGGGAAGTGGGGGGGGGGGAGGGAAGAGAGAAACCAGTGTTCCCTCTCATTTTTTACATCCATGCACGGAATGAATTTTGTTATGTGCACCAATATGGAGGTGATGTGTGACACATCACCTTCATATTGGTGAACATAACAAAATTCATGTGGTGGGGGTAGGGCCGAGGGGTTCGGAGTGTGGGAAGGGGCTCAGGGCTGGGGCAGAGGGTTGGAGTGTGGGGGGGCATGAGGGCTCTGGCTGGGGATGCGGGCTTGAGGTGGGGCTGGGGATGAGGGGTTTGGGGTGCGGGAGGGGGCTCAGGCCTGGGCAGAGGGTTGGGTGCAGGGGATGAGGGCTCTGGCTAGGGGTGAAGGCTCTGGGGTGGGGCCAGGGCTGAGGGGTTCAGGACGGGGGCTCAGGGCTGAGGCAGAGGGTTGGGGTGCAGGCTTTGGGGTTGGGGCAGGGATGAGGGTTTGGGGGTTCAGGCTGCCCAGGGGCTGCTGTGGAGGGAGAGGGAGGGAGAGAGAGAGAAAGAAAAAACTCCCTCCAGCTCTCTCTCACTATAGCAGCTCGGGGCAGGGGGAGAGGTGCCTCTCCCGGCTGTGGCAACTCCGGCAGTCCTGGGCCGGGCCAAGGGAGAGGCGCCTCTCCCCCAGTCCCAGCAAGTCCAGGGCAGGTCCATGTTGCGGCCAGCAGGGAGGGGCACCTTTCCCCCAGCAGGTCTGCACTGGGGCCAGCGGGGAGGGGCGCCTCTTCCCCAGCAGGTCCGTGCTGGGGGAGAGGCATCTCTCCCCGCTGCAGCCCTGAGCCCCTGCATGGGGCTTAATAGGCAGCTGCGCAGCTTAGAGGGAACTTAGGACCAGACCTTGAATTCTGAGCCCACTTAGAATGGGCTTCAGGTAAAACCTTGCTGAATAGGTTTGAATGCCTTTTCAAGGTGCTGTGCAAGACAGGTTGAGCTATCAAGACTACTCAAACACTGAAGGGTTTGTGTTTAGGAGCGAAGTTGTCTATGTTTGACTTTATAACCATGTTTCTATTTTCCCTATTTTACAACTGCCACTGCTGAAGGCAAGGGGAAATTCCCTACAGACCCAACCAACGCAAAAACCACAACAACCCACAAGACAAAAATCCCCACCCCAAAACACAAAAACAAAACAAAAAACCAAAATCCCACAACTGTTTCTCCTCATCCTGGAGGCTGAGCATGCTGCCCCCCCTGCACTGTAACACTAGTACATATTGCCTGAACGGATTAAAGTGCTCTGAGTTTAAAGGACATAAGCCCACTACTTGAAAACTGACAGTCAGGGTGAAATAAAATGTACTGTTTAAACTTCTTTAAAGAAGTGACCCTACAAAGTAAAACTGAAAACGTGTGTAAGTGTGGAGGGGGAGGGGGAGAGATGGTGAACAATGGGCAGTAAAATACTAGATCCTTGAGTTTTTGTCAGCCAGAGACCTTCTCTAATTTCTGTTAGTAGAGTCAGCCCTTCTCCAAAATGATCTCAGAGGTCAGTAATCATGTAAGAGTTATGTCTCAAATTTTGTACTATTCTGGAGTTTTTGTTATTGGGCTCATGTCATAAGTTTAAAAACAGTAAGAGTGACATAGAAACCAACTTCTTTACATCATCACCCCCATTTTCCAGATTATGCCACATCAGTCCATTCCTGCTCTCCTCTACCATATTAGAATTTCTCGCCCTTTTCCCCATAAGGCTGACTCTCACTAATCTTTTGTCCTTTACACAAGCCAGGCTTGTCCCTTCTCATTGTCTGTACACTTAGTTATTCCAGAATCAAAGGTTAATCACTCACATTTTTCAGGGGGCAATACTGATGTGCATACCACTCCTGACTGTAAAGGCAAATTATGACACCCTGGCCCAGGAAGAGAGAAGTCCACATGATCACATTCCAAATGGGCCCTTTCCGACGGTCATTAAGAATGAAGTTGAAAACCACTGGAAGAGGAAATAGAAAGTCATCAAGGTGCGCTATTCAGGACATCTGCAAGCTCAGGTTTTAACCCACATTAAGAGTCAATAAGTCTCAGATTCTCCTTTCATTTCCACTAAATTAGTTTGATCATCGGTCTGCTTTCCATCTCCACTGTATTGATGGCACATTATGGGAAAAGTCCATACAGCACAGGAAAGCATGCTCATTATCTTCTTTCACAAGTGATATGTATCACATTGGCAGGTTTATTCCCTACAAGATTACCAGGTCCATCTGGCAGCCTCAGTTTAGAACGGGAGTGGTAGTGTGCTACAGCAGAGGAGTGAAGAACACTGGCAGAGCAGGGGGTGGGAGGCAGCTGTGAACATCTGCACTGTGCCTGCTCCGTAACAATTACCACCCACAAAGTAAACACTTTTGCACTCATGCTCCCACAAAAAGAGACAGGGGAAAGGGAAGATGCCATCCTCCAACTCAATGCTGGAAGGCTACACCTATACACATCAGTCACTGTAGCAAGATAAAAACTGAGCAACTACTCCCTCAGGCTATGGCTTTAAAAATAAAAATATTGGCTACTAGGCAGAAGTGTGGTAACTCATCCTTGAGGGGCTGGCTAAAGGGAAAAGTTATGTTATTATAACTTCACTGCCCAATTTTATATACATTAACTTGGTATGTTTTATATACATGGGAATATGTATATGGCTAGTTGTATAGCAATACAATTTCCCTCACCCTTATATTCCTTGCCTCCTTGGACCCCAATCCTGAAAACACATAAGTAACTCGTTAATGTGACTCCTTGGACACATGTGTTTGCAGGATTTGGTTCTCCAGCTGGAACTCTTCTACAGGAAACATTTCTGCAAGTGTTTGAATAGCAACTAGCCCAACAGAGCCTCATCACCATTTTAGTCTCTGGACTTTACTCCAGCTGTATATTTTATTTTTTACCAAATGCTTTCCTGGTGACTTACTTCCAAAGCACATGAAGAGGCAGAAGAGGACTGGATAAAAATAACCAAAGCAGACTCCCAGGACATACTCGTGTACGGCAGCTGAGACAGCAAAGACAGACAGCATAGCAGCAGCTTTGAACTTCTTACCAAAGAACTGGTGATGGGAAGAGGGGTGGGGGGAAGATATCAAATACAGAGCTGTTCTGTTATACTTTATTCTATTTTACACTGGAGGTTAATACATTTAAAGTAATTTTAATGGACTAGTTAGGGTCTGCCCCTGCTATGCACGAGGAGCTTTAAAATGTCATATACATTACAGATTCCTTAGATTAAGGAAAGTGTCTATTCTTTGGGGGATTTTTACTCTGCTTCTCATTTCCTGAGAATGCACATGAAATATAAAAAGACACCAACGCTCATCTATTCAAATAACATATTACCATGCCAGAATATAACAGTTCTGTGAACCAACATACTATTAGGTTCTGTTGTTACCTTTCATTAAAGCGTTAGATTAGGCCACAGTCCTGCACTTTATGCATGTGAGTAGATCAGTAAACTCAATGGTTCTCCTAACATGCATAAGTGGCTGCCCATACCAAGACACTGAATTTGGTCATTCACATCCCTGAATGCACTATGAAGCAGCGTTTCACAATCAGGTTACTAGTTTGTCTATAGTTAATTTTTTAACCTAAGTCTCCCCCACTCCCATCCTGCAGGAAAGGCTTTGTGATCTCCCCCTCAAAGGTCAGCAGATCACCAGTTTGTCAGTCACTGACTCTTTTTGTTAGTCATCGGATCAATCAAAAAGCATCGGATCTATCTTTTTGCACCTCTACAGGATAAGATATTGGCTTCCTTAAAATTGGCATAGAAATAGGGAGGAGCTTTTACTGAACATTTATTCACAACAATTTACAAAGTTCTAATATGGATTCCATTCCTACACCACTACATTAATTCACACTTCACCACATTTTCCTCCTTTGTCATCCTCTTCAGTGATTTCTGCATAATTGCAGAAATAACCTTGTTGGATGAAAGCTATTCCAGGGCGCTTCTCCACATCAGTGCCCTTCCAAAGCCAATGAGGACTCTAGCAATGCAAACTACTACTTATTTTCTCACGAGGAATGGTGTTAGCTCCCCTCTTACACCCACCCCCTTACGTTTTTAGAAAAAGATGCCATAGTGTTTCAAAGAGAGGTAAAGAATGAGGACCAAGTCTGCTTGCTGCTCACCCACAGAAAGTCCCTGTAAGCGTAGTAATACAGCCAGTCATGTACCACCACATTCCATGTTCGGTAATAGTTTGCATACGATGTGGAGTTCCACCAATCCTGAAACACACACAGTTAAAGGGGAGAAGAGGGCACATAGTTGGCGTTAGTGACAGGTCTTCCATTAACTCTTTTTTGAAAACTAAGTTTGAAAATGTTTGAGGAGACTAGTTGTTCTAGCCACACAATCTATCATCCCAGTTAATTTAACAAGTTGCCTTGCAAGATTTCACAGGTTATGGCATTTGTAGCATCTTTATCTTTCAGGGGTATGACAGTTACTCCAATAACCGAGTTCTATGGAACTGCAGTGGTCAAACAGAATGAAAAATTTAAGTTATGGTCATGCTAATGAAAAGATTTGACAGTTCTGGTGGCTGAACAGTCCTGTTTACTCACAGAGACGTAATACAGGCATTGGCAGCCCAAGTTTCCTCCACAATACCCAACTGGGATGCCTCAATCCTGATCTAGGGGGACTTTGGAGAAGGAAGTTCCCCTACAATGAACATCAGTAGCATTTCTGCTGCTAGGATGCCTCATGCAGCAGAGCTTTCTGAAGTTCTTTTCCTCTCCTGACCCTATTTCATTTGGAGAAAGCAATTCTAGGAACTTCATAAAACTAAAATAATTTCATTTGGGGTTGATTAACAAAGATAGCATCTGAGGAGAACAGCAGCAACATCTACAGACATTGCAGAAGAAAGACCTTGTTACCTTGTAGAACATTCTGTCTGCAAAGCGCAGCATCTCAGCAAATGCATTAAGCCAGCAGTGAAGGAATGCAAAGAAGACCAAGAAGAGAATCAGAACACCTGGGGATACAGAACAAAAAACACCCAGACTCATTTCACAACATCTGTTGTTTACTCATCTGTGACCAGGGATACATAAACACAGCCATCAAACTGTATCTGCTGCAAACAGGTTTAAACAGGAGGAACCAGATTTTGTATTACTCAATCTATAACTATCATTTTTAAAGGGTACCTCACCACACAAGAGACACAAAGGTTGTTCTATGGTGCAGAGACTGTTGACAAAGGAGCCAGAATTAAAATTTGAAGTTCTGTTTGAATCTCTTGTGCCCTCAAGCTATAATATCTCATTGCTGAACTTTCATGGAGAAAGTCTTATTTAACAACAGAACAGCAAGTTATCTTCTTAGTTATCACAGGATAGGTGCACTGCAGGGCAACCATATCTGCTATAGTGACCAATTCTCCCCTCCCTATGAAAAAACACCCATCTCACATAAATCCTGTGAGCAGGAGTTTGGCACCTTCTCTTAACCCTCCTTTTACAAGTCTAGCCTGGGTGGGAAATGGAGGAAGGTTGTAATGTTGCACAGCCACCTGGGTCTCACCTGGCAGGATGGAATTGAAAATGCAGAGGACCAGCCCTCGCAGATTGAAGGGTTCCTGACTTATGTTCCGAAATGGAGGGATGCAGAGTCGCACAAAGATGTAGTAGGCATAAAAAAGCGAACCAATCACCTGCAGCACAAGAGCAGTCACACTCCATAAGAAAAATTAATGCACAAGTAACACTTGTAACATCGCAACTCTCTACAGAAGGGAGAGAAACAATGGCACCACCCCGAACTTGGCACCACCCACAGACTTTTGGGATTAGAGACAATATTAATGAAACTCCCACAATATTCTAATTTTTTATTTTCAATTAATGTTGGAGCATTGTTCCCAGATAACTGATGTGGTAATGTCAGTGCATTGTCACTGTTCTGCCAGAGTAGCTTTATAAATTTCTCCAAGTCCACCTATTGATGTGGCAGCTCTGAGCAGTTCTAATACAGTGCTAGCAGATGATGAAGCTGAATAGTTTTATGCCGATGCCCAAAATACAAGTGAGAAATCTCACAATTTGGATCTAACCAAGACATTGAGACAGAGCTGAGCACACATTATATATTATGATCTTTACTTCATATATATTATAATCTTCATTTCTCTTCCATCTGAGAAGATTTACAACAGGCCAGGCCATTCAAGACCCTGGTTTTGGTTCATCAGGCGACTCCCTATTCAAAGTTTTAAAACAGGGAAGTTCTGTCAATACAGTAATTTGACAGGATGAACACCCTGACTCACTTTATAAATGGCTTTTCAGCTCACCTAAGCCCCATTATAAATGCACATACCGTACTGCAACTAGAGTACACGTTTTTTCACCCCTTTCCTTCCACATCAAGAACAGCCTATCAAGAGGGAGCTGGGCCCCTTTGTTAGTGCCATTTAGATGCAAAGAAGGATTCCTTGTGAAGTGGCAGAATTCCAGGTCACACCACGCTGAGGGTCCAATAAAACTTGACCTGGAAGTTTCTTTGGACTACAGCAAGAAACAATGAACGACTGTGCTCATTGAAGCACATGGGGCAAAGGACGCAGTTTCTTGTCACTGGCCCCACAAACATACACACACTGCCTTCCCAAACTCACAAAATCTTGATCAGTGCTAGGTTTAGAGAAAAAGTGAGGTGAGAATACAGAAGTGTAAGTGTCCTCTGCACCAATCTCAGTTGAACTAACTAACTAAAAGTTATTTACTTTGATAAGGTATGGCCATTCAAATGATAAAACAAGTAACAAAGTTTAATGTTCAGATAAGCATCCAAAAGCTTGGCTTGAACTATCAAAACCTCAAGTCTTCAAAAGAGAGCTGGAGATCAAGAGATATACTGGCACTTGTGTTTCTGTCTGGAGCACTTGAAGTGGTAAACCACCTTTTCCAAAAAGGGTGTGGTTCAAAACTAAGGCAAAGGCTCAGATCAATTCTTTGTTGTGCCAGGTAATTAGCCCTTCTCCAGTATCCACAGTATATTGGTAAAATGCATACTGGTGTTTCTATTGCCCTCTGCATCAATATAAAAGCCAATGGTCGTGAATCAAAGCTAAGGAAAAGTCAATCCCTAACTGAAATTATGACAGAATTTCATCAGAGGGTGGATAAAATATCGAGTCAACTCACTGAAGGAAGCAACTAGTAGAAATACTTTTTTCTTAAAAAGGAGTTAGACGAGTATCTGACAAAATATTTCAGGGTACAAATATTAATATAATAGCAGGGATCAGAGAGTTTTCTTTTCTTAAATCACTGGAAGGGCTTCTGTATTTTTCCGGTGAAGCTGATTGCTGAATAATTCACATAAGCTGAGGCCTCAAGCAGGAAGTGCCCGACAATTCCATCTGATAGAGTCTGAGAATTCTCTGGACATGTATTAAGATGATCAAAAATTAAACTAGACTCACCTGTGCAAACTTGGTAGCTACATAACCCCATCTTATCATGGGATTCCTACAAAGAGAAAGAGCACAATGTTACATCTAACAAACTCTTCCTTTGGAGAATCTAGGATTTCACCCAGTACAACTGTATTCTGTAACCATCCCATCCCTGGAGCACAGAACTAAATTAAAGTTTAAATTAGAGGTTTAGTCTGTGGAATATTGATGGTCTATAGAAAGCTCATGGCTCCTCCTTATTGCCAGCTGTAAAGTGCATTAAGACAGCAAAATATATTACTTTCTCATGTAAGAAATTGCTGTAGTTGCCATAGACATATGCAATCACATAAGGAGATAGTAGTCTGAATGACTGTGAATGGGAGAAGGTTAGTCTACTAGACAGTGCCACTAAAATGGGCCCCATACTATGAAAGTTTGAGAACTCCTGGGCTAAGTGTATTTAAGAAGTATCTGTAGTTCCTTCTCAAATCCAAGAGATGGAGCTGCTTAACAACTCCATATTATGGCAGATACTCAATTTAACTAAAATCTAAGGGACTAGTCTTCACAGTTCCCTTTCTTTCTAAAGACATTCAGCATCTGGTTGTTTCATTCCTAGATTTAACTCTAGACAGTTTTTCAGAAAAGCTCCTAAAATACCTAGAGATTGGTTAGCAGAGGGCAGGTCCGAGTCAAGTCATTGGGGTGCTATTTCCAGCCCTGCCAGTAGTTTGGCATAGGACCTGCAGAAACTCACCTTATCTCTCTGTACCTCAGTAAAGTGGGGGTAGTTCCCACTTTGGAGTCATTAAACATCAGCTCAGACTTCTAGAATACTACATAAAGATATCAGTGTTGCTGACATTACCTCGGATAGTTGTCCCTGTAGATGAGGGTGGGAGCGAAGAGGAAGTACAGATACTGGGTAACTTGGGGAACTGGGACGGTGCCTGAAAGAGCAAAAGAGTATTTGGTAGTGAAGCATTCAGCACACTGAAGGCATGGTGCTTCCCTCACTAGCCTTCTGCCTACTTAACCTAGGCCTCCTCACTAGCCATCACCCTGAAGACTTTACTAAAGGAGGCAGAATCCTTAGATTGCCAGAAAAAGAACAGAGGGAAAACAGATTAGTAATTAGCAGGAATTCTGCTTGGGACATGTAGTTCAGAGAAACCAGCGCAGCCACTCGGTGCACAATGTTGTTAAATTGGCAGTCATTACACACAGTCACATTTTTAAAGGAGTTATTGCCGGTGTGTCATGATTACTGATATCATGTGTACCTCAGGGCCAGAACATCGGCAGACCAAGTCCTACACCAACATCTGGGCTCTTATTCCATGCTAACTTTACTGTGCAGTTCTAGATGGGCTACTGCCTTCTTAGAGGTGCTGTCCTTTGGATTGAAGCATTACACCGAAGTCCCCTCTACCATTTCTTGTAGATGTCCCAGTGGTAGCAAGATCTCCCGGCACTAAAAGCACGTAGAAAACCCCTAGATGTCTTGGTCAACTTACTGTCTCTCTAAAACTAGTTCTAATTCTACTTCTTTGTAATAACTCAGTCACACTGGGTGAAATTCACTTCTATGCAGAGGGCCACCACAGAGCCTCTCTAGCCACATTAAAGACTCACTTACATTTGAGACTGTAAATGGTGCACAGAAGTCTTCGGCTGACCATATGTATATGGGTGAATTTCACCCCTAGAGGAAGGAGGACTCAGGAAGCGAAGAGTAAAACAAATTATCCAAAAACATCTAGTGGAAGCAGGGGTAAGTTACTCACTTGACTTCTCCTTGGCTGAAGACAGGACCCGAGGAACATTCTCCCTAATGAATGAATAAGCCTTCATAATTAGACGAACCTGTAAAACAAGAGTGTGTCCAAGATCCCATTGTCCACAATTCAACTTCCTCAGCCTCTGCACTCCAGTGGGACAGAGTGATGCATCTGGGTAACGCTTTCAGCGTATTAGTCTCTTTTCACCTTCTCCTTTTTTAAATGTATGTACTGTTCCCCCTATAGGTTCACCTCTCAACTAAACACTCAGAGTACCAGAAGGGGCAAGTATGCAGATAGTAGTGGTACTTGCCCCCTCTACACCTCTAAAAAAATCCAAACAGTTTTGTAATTTAGGTGGAAATTAAAATGAGCTCCAGTCCAGTGCATGTGCCATATGACATGGAAACCAATAAAATGTTAGTCAGGTTAACCGAACACAATCTAGACTGAAGCAATGAATCACATCATTTCGATACCCCAGCTGTTCTCAGCACTGAGATTATTGTCAATCTAGAATTATTTATTGAGTATATGGCTCCATTTTTTAAGTGATCAAGTTGAAGCAAGATGGCACCAGCACATGAGCTCTATGCCTACTGTTCAGTTCACTTTTTTTGCCCCCCACAATTTCCCCTCAGGAACTGATAATTGCTTGGCAGCTAATACTCCTCAAACTTGCTCTCTGAGTCCTGGCGACTCCTGTTTTGAGACGCTCACAGTGACAACTGCTTCTAGAATTACAAACATCAGGACTGTTGTGAATACATTCAGAACACAAAACGTGAATATACAGCAACAAACTAATGTCAAACATAGCTATTAAGAACTATTTCTGGGTCATAATAGAGATGTACACTTCTCTTCTATGTATGAATATAATTGTTCAAGAAGGATCTTAAATTCTCTGTCAGGCCAGCACAACATGTTTCATGGGAGTTTAAAGTAAAAATCTGACCCCCCTTTTATAAAAGCTAGAACTGTTCTAACTCTAATTATATTTAATCTACTCAAGATGGGATCCCTCAAAATGTAACTGTGCACAGTTATCACCTTCCTACTTGGGATACAACTGAAAGATTATTCTGTGAATATCACAGAGTATTACGAAGAAGCAAATGCCTTGCATCACTTGGGCCATAGAAGCAATGTTTGCTACATTAAACCGTTTGCTGCTTGGGTCAATATGGCCATATATTTTATATACTGCAGATCTTACACAAGGATATATATATTCTTCATATTTAGATGCACAGGGCACAAAAAACTGCTTGAATTTAGAACTACAGTATTAGAAGTCAAAATCACCAAGAAGGTGAATGGCTATTTTAGACGGAGACCGTTCAAAACCATTCCCTACCGTTTTTGAATATATTTAATGTCATCTGCGCTCTTCATTGACAGAGCAGCAAGTAAAATGAGTGTGAGGTTGCAAGACAACCCAAAATTAAAGCTTGAGAAATTACACAGATTTGTTCTGCCCTCTTTATGGGTATTGCACCTTATCTGTTGTGTGGCAACTAGATTAATTTACATCACAGACAATGGTCAAGTGGCCTTAAATTTTTACTTTTGTTCTAAAAGCAGCCAATACTGGGAACTGGCAATATTTCAAGTGTTTCCACTTCTCTCTTGCTTCTAGCAGTCACATGGGTACACCTGGTCTACAAACAGATGATATTTAAATTATATATATATATATATATATATATATATATGCAATAGTCTAGTGCAACTGTATTAACAGATGCTGAATTTAATTCAATCAGCAAAGGGTACAATTATTGAAAACCTGTTAATAAAATAGAAAATATTAATTTTTTAAAAATCAGAACTAGTTGCCAAGAGTAATGAGGTCTCTTAGTTACAAATTATTATTGTCTCACATGCAGAGACAGGCACTACAATATCTTTTTGAGGAGAAAAAAAGGCTTTTCAGCAAGTTCTTTCCTAGACAAAATTTTCACTCTAGCATGCAAAGCCATCTACTGTCCTGCCTCTAAAGTCACCATGCAGGGACTCACCTGTTCAAGTATTATAACGAACCGAGAGGCTGGAGGTAGAGCATACGACACAGCAACATACGTTGGCCCAAGCCCAAGCCCGATGCTTTGGAAGAGCATGAAGAGCATTCCGAAGAAGAGGGAGCGGATTTTCCGGTGGGAGGAACAACAGTGGCCCTGGGCCCACTGCAGGAAGAGGCCATAGGGTAAAATGAACGTGGACAGAAACATGCAGAGCCAGGTGGAAATGACAACAGGAAACTTGCCAAAAGCGAAGACCAAAAGATCAAATTCAAGCACCAGCCTAAAAGAAACAGATATGAGACAAAGCCAGATTAGTGGTATGTGGTGTTCATTATCTCTTTTTATGAAAGCTTCCAACCCAGTTCTGCAGTGGTCACAGAAAGCGACATTAGCAGACAACAGCTGGTAGATGATCTCAATTCAATTCCTTAATGGACAAGTGCATTGTGCAAAACCAAACCACACTCACTCTTGTTGACAACACTGACTGGCTGAAAGACTAAGATCTGACTCAGCAACACGTGTAAGCACATGCTTAACCCTAAATCATATGGGCTTCAATGGGACTTAAGTGCCTGTTTTAAGGAAGCGCATGCTTAAGTTCTTTGCTGAAGATGGATGAGCTTAAGCACGCACTTAAGGGTAAGCATGTGCGTACATGCTTTGTTAAATCAATACTAGAGTGAGACCCGGAAACAGAACTTCTCTCACTTCTAGCGAGGGTCCCTCCAAAACAGGGAGGAGACATTTACTGGGAAGTGAGAAAAGTTTCTATTGATGACTCCATGGCTGTACTTGTTCAGTGGATAAACAGGATTTCAGTCTCTGGAGATGTCACTTTAGCATGTTTCACAAGAACTCAGGGTCAGATTATTAAATATATTTAGGCACCCAAAGATGCAGATAAGCACCTAGTGGGGATTTTCAAAAGTACCTATACACCTAATATCCACTGATTTTAATAGGAGTTGGACACGTAGATGCCTTTGAAAATCCCACTAGATACCCAAGTACCTTTACAAATCTAGCATTAAATCTACTTTGTTAAAAAAAAGGTAGAATTAAATCCCAGATAGATTTGCTATAGAACATGGTTGATTATTTTTAGAATCATGAAGAAACAGTTAAAATCTGCACAAATGAATATTGTGACTGGTCCTTCATGGTTTTCCCCTCCTTTAGAATCTAGTCTGATTTAGAAGTTTTAGATTTCTAGCCCTTCTACCTCAGAAGGGCCTTCACTCTATAGATTTAAAACTCTGCTGGCTCAGGACGACCTCTCAGGTACACATACCACAAGTACACAAAAGCTTAAAATGTATTCATTCCCATCTGGATTCATATTGGGATTACAAACTGTACCCTGAGACACTATCAGATCTATTTAGGAAGACAGTAAAAAAAAAAATATATATATATATATATATATATATAACTGCAGATACTACTATGACAAAATATTACAGACAATCTGTCCCTCTGTATGGAAGACAAGTCTCCAATGTAGATCCATCCAATTCTTCCCCTGCTGCCCACATCACTTTCAATTGAGAAACAAAGCTAAGCTTCCATTTGGAAACCCAAGTTGCTGCCAATTTACATTCATCCAGAACTGTACATGCCAACTCTCAATTAGAGATGAAAAAAAACACTAACATCAAGTCATGTCACAACTGGTTCTGATACATGAAAAACAAGGAAATTGTCTTATCAGTAAGATAACCATATAGTTTCACTTGTAATCTACAGGGATAGCTGCCAAAAACAACTACAATTTAAGCAATAAAGTCAACAAGTCAGAGGAAGACTCTCTCTCAAGCATGTTCAATACTGGCTACAAGCATCTAAACACAGGCACAACTGAGTCTGTTCCAGGACCTTCAAGGTTCATTTAGAACAACTTAATTTACATCTATTTAGCAACAATACAGTCCTCCAGAAGTGTGTTCAGTATAGTCTACTAATGCAGAACAGAAGACTGCCAAAGTATTTGCCATTTTTCAAAACTGTCTATACTGTCCCCTTCACTTGACATAAATGAAGAACCACCACCATCCAGTTCATAATTCTGGTGCTCTGAGAACATAATGAAAAGAAGCTATCATCTACCTTTATGTTGAGTTCTCAAGAACCGCATGCCTCTAGCCCAATTACATTGGATATAATATTTCTAGGATATGTGCCCAAAGCCTATGAGCCATATGACAAAATTGCTCACTATCTCCCTAAGCCTTCTGTGATTGCCCTGTGTCTAGGATGTAAATTCTAGCACAATTTTAAAGCTTGTTGAGTCTATTTACAAGTTTTATGACCTGTCCACACAGCATTACACTTGGAGTACGAGTTCCCCCATTTTGTAACTTTATGTACCACTAATTTTTAATTATCAATTTTCAATGTGTAAGTGCTTCCCTTTCAACATGCTTTCTTACCTTCCTTCATCAATAAAGTCTACTACAAGTGTGCTGAGAATGAAGAGGATGAGGAGAGCGATGAACATGTGGTAGATTGTCCGGATGTGGTTCACTTCAAACAGCTCACTGGGGAGGAGGTCCAAATGAAGAGCAATATCATTAGCACACATATGAATAGCATATAGTGTCTATAGTACTTTTTCTCTTCCAAATGTTTCCTTTCAATGTGAAACATGCCCCAACAAGTACAACACAACTGGGAGACAAGAGCGCCGAGTTATAGTTCTGACTTGCTACATGACTAAGTCACTGCTCCGTTCCTCACTTTTTCCATCTGTAAGAGTATGGTGATACACCTACCTCACCAGGGTGTTGTGTGAATTAGTTCATGTTTGTGAATAAAAGACACCTGGTTCTCATCTAGCACTTCTACCTGAAGATCTCAAAATTCTCTCTTTGAAGGTGGGGTAGATAATCCTCAACCTTATTTTTACACATGGAGAATTAGTCACAAGATTAAATAACTTGCATAAGAATCCAAAGCGGACTGTCAGCAGTCAACAACTGAGATAGGTCCATTAAAAGCAATGAATACAAGCAATACACAGTTTCTCCCCAAAGGAATTCAGATTTGAGGATCCAACAAGTGTTGTGCTGTGGCAGCCCTCCAGCAGGGCTACAGCTATTCCTAGTGCCTCCCACTGTCACCATCTTTCTAGCACATGTGGGCAAGGGCACTTGGGAAAAGATTTACAGAACCTTCTACATAGGAGAAAGGCAGGCAAGCAAGCTACACCGCTTTGTAGCTTCAGAGAACCATTATCTTTTCAACAAATACCCATTTTCTTAGAGATAAAGCTCCATGGACATTTGCAACTATATATGTCTGGAAAAAAAATATTCAACAGGAATCGGACATAGAAAGAAAGGGCTCAACTATAATAAAGAAGAGGTCCCAAAGTAAAGATACTGAGGGTGGCCAAGTGAGGCACTTTTAGCCAGTATGCTTCAGAAACAACAAGTGCAGTTAAAGTACTTACTCCAAGATGGACCTCCTAGCAGTAAAGAGCTTTCCATGTTCTGGAGGTGCTCTCAAGCCCCTATGAAGAAGAAGGAGAATATTAAAGACAAAAAATTGTAAACTATAAATGTTGCAGGAAACTTAACCTCATCCAGGGACCAGCTTACTTGGTTTTGTGCAGGTCTCTCTCTGAGCAGGTAGCTACAGGGAAGGTGGATGTTGCTGTGGAGGATTCCAGAAGCACAGACTTTGCTATCAAACGGTTCACAAACTCTGTAAAGTGACTGTCCACCTCCTTCATGAATGCCGGCTTCAACTCCTGATAAAGTGGAAATAGGTTCACATTATTTTCTATGCCTTGATGGGTCAAGTCAGCTGTGAAACGCTACCATGAGTCATGCTTTGAATAATGCTTATTCATCTTTCGATACAATGCAGAAGAGAGGAAAGCTATCGATATTCTGGTGATAACGTTTAAAGAAGGTGAAAAGTAAAAATTAGGGGTGGTATGTACATCATAAGATGTGGGACCAAGTAAGTTAAATGTAACCTCCCATTGCTGGAAAAAAAGCCCTGCAGTCACACATTATGATTATGTTGCATATTTAAAAACAAGAACATAAGAATTGGTACACATGATGTAACACTAGATTGCCTATGTTGCACTATGAGGACAGTGCCTTTTGCTTCTACAGTTTTTATGTTTAACCATGTAAGTTTTTGGGGGAGGTTAAGGGGGTAGAGTTGCACATTAATTTCTCACATGAACAATGAAATGGTCCCAACTAGTCTTCGAATTTTACACCCTCACAAAATGAACATGGGGAAGAGAAAAGAAAGGAATTCACACCTGAGCTACTGCCGTTGTTTGGCTAGAGGCAGTTTTCTGCATGGCTATGTTTACAGGGCAACATGTGAAAATGCAATAGTAGATGAAACAATAGCAACAGAGAAAAAAAAATATCAAACAAACAGGCCCCGAAGTACTGAGCCCTCCGATTCCCATTAGAGTCAATAGGAACTAAAGGTTCTTAATATCTTGCAAGGCCAAGTCCTTTGATTTTCACTGTGGAAAGATTATGTCACTTGTACTTTTGATATTTAGTTTCCAATTAAAATATTCCTGCATGAAGGCCAAGATGCTTGCACTGTATTGTCAAAGGGGACTAGGTATGCCATTACGGCATGCTCAGAGGTGATTTGACAATAAATTGTAGACAATTTGTATTCTTCCCTCTCCATGCAAAAGCCTACTATGGGTCCAATGGTTTATCAAAGGGTGTTTAGATGCATTTTTGAAAGGTCCTTTGGATGACCAAAAAGAGGTCTTATGCTGTAATGTTACATTCTCAATTACAGTACTTCAATGACAGCTGAAGGAATTTTTGCTTAAAAGCCTTTCAAAAAATTTCATAAAGCAAGCAAAGTTTTAGCTTCAAAAAGGTGAATTTTCAGAATGTGAAAGTGTGGCTATAACTGAAGTCCTATCTTGTCTAGATTACCAGTTTGCATAACACATTTCCTAGTTGCACATTGCTTTCCAGCTTGTAACGTACTAGGAAACGCACCATAAAGCAGTCTACAGTTTGAAGATTGTGCTGATGCAAGGGAAGTGTCCAGCTTATTTGCAAGGGAGTTAAAATGGTAAAATGGTAGGTGTCTTCAGACTGATTGTGTAAAGAGAACTACTACTGCTAGTATGTGCTAGATTGACAGTTCTGGATAGTGAAGTGTTCTTCTCACCCACAGAAGAAATATGGCAGAAGCAGTGGTAGGTGAAAGTTTTCCCCAGCATATTACATATATATCCTGAAATGAAAGCAACAGCATAAACATTAGCCTCAGGAAGACCGGAGAGCCGTGGAAAGTTAATTATTCTCGAAAATCCAGAGAATATGAGAAACAGACTGCAAGAGATATGGGGCCAGATTCTTAGACTCACATTAGAAAAACTACATTGATGTACACCATTTGAGCATCTGGACCCTGGGCAATAGTCTGAAGTTAAATACTTGCTGTTGGGTTGCTCCTCAAAACACCAGCCTGGTGGGGAGGAAAGATGGTGAAAACTAACTAGTAAGACAACAATGCTCTACCCCAGAATTTTTCCAGAAACTAAGGCTAGGTCTACACTACCCGCCTGAATCGGCGGGTAGAAATCGACCTCTCAGGGATCGATTTATCGCGTCCCATCGGGACGCGACAATCGATCCCCGAATCGACGCTCTTACTCCACCAGCGGAGGTGGGAGTAAGCGCCGTCGACAGGAAGCCGCAGAGGTCGATTTTGCCGCCGTCCTCACAGCAGGGTAAGTCGGCTGCAATACGTCGAATTCAGCTACGCTATTCACGTAGCTGAATTTGCGTATCTTAAATCGACTCCCCCCTGTAGTGTAGATGTAGCCTAATTTTACAAAGATTAAACTTCTACAGCATAAGATGAGCATTTCTAGGCGACGGATTTCAAAAATAGGGGCTTTAAATTAAATAAAAACTCAAGCTAGCCAAAAACTCAAAAGGTAACGAATTGTTTAAGTATATCAGAAGCAGGAAGCCTGCTAAACAACCAGTGGAGCCCCTGGACGATTGAGATACAAAAGGAGCACTTAAAGACGATAAAGTAATTGTGGAGAAACTAAATGAATTCTTTGCTTCAGTCTTCACGGCTGAGGATGTTAGGGAGATTCCCAAACCTGAGCCATCCTTTGTAGGTGACAAATCTGAGGAATTGTCACAGATAGACGTGTCATTAGAGGAGGTTTTGGAATTAATTGATAAACTTAACAGTAACAAGTCACCGGGACCAGATGTCATTCACCCAAGAGTTCTAATAGGACTCAAATGTGAAGTTGCAGAAATGCATATAGTTTGTAACCCGTCCTTTAAATCACCTTCTGTACCCAATGATTGGAAGATAGCTAATGTAATGCCAATATTTAAAAAGGGCTCTAAAGGTGATCCTGGCAATTACAGACCGGTAAGTCTAACGTCAGTACCAGGCAAATAAGTTGAAACAATAGTAAAGAATAAAATTATCAGACACATAGAAGAACATAAATTGTTGGGCAAAAGTCAACATGGTTTCTGTAAAGGGAAATCATGTCTTACAAATCTATTAGAGGTCTTTGAAGGGGTCAACAAATATGTGGACAAGGGAGATCCAGTGAACATAGTGTACTTAGATTTCCAGAAAGCCTTTGACAAGGTCCCTCACCAAAGGCTCTTACGTAAATTAAGTTGTCATGGGATAAGAGAGAAGATCCTTTCCTGGATTGAGAACTGGTTAAAAGATAGGGAACAAAGGGTAGGAATAAATGGTAAGGGGGTAAGTAGTGGTGTTTCCCAAGGGTCAGTCCTAGAACCAATCCTATTCAACTTATTCATAAATGATCTGGAGAAAGGGGTAAACAGTGAGGGGGGAAAGTTTGCAGATGATACTAAACTGCTCAAGATAGTTAAGACCAAAGCAGACTGTGAAGAAAAGACGGTTACTCACCGTTGTAACTGTTGTTCTTCGAGATGTGTTGCTCATATCCATTCCATTAGGGTGTGCGCGCGCCGCGTGCACGATCGTCGGAG